ACAATACTATCGGGTTAAAGGTGGTTTAATGTGCTTGGTCCTTCCCTCCGCGCCAGCATGCTTGGCATACACAGTTTTGGTCACGAGCTGCTCATTTGCTAATAACTTTGCACACAGTTGACGGAACATAGTTCTTTTGAAGCAGTAGATAGAATAGAGTGTAAGCTTATTATAGATATGTAAAAAAAAACTAGATTTTAATGCTACTAGTAAACTGTATTTGTTTTGCGTTGTAAAAATGAGGTGAGAAATGCTCACTACACATCTCGGAATTTAAGTGTTAAATTGATTAGTGTTGATTCAAATATTAAGCTTTACTTAATCTTCGCATATCTATAGTAAACTATGAGCCTAATCTATCAATTGCTTTAAAGAAAAATAAATTTCAACATCTGAGTGAAAAGTTATTACCAAATGAACTGTGCATGCCAAGCATGCGCGCCAGTACCAGTTCAACCGGCACCGGCAGTTCCCGAAATTTCCCATTTGAGTGGCGTAAAGCTTCCGATGATTTCTCTACCGCAGTTTGATGGAGATTTGAACGAGTAGTTAACGTTTCACGATTCGTTCAATTCGTTAATACACTCATCGGCAGAAATCCCAAGCATACAAAAGTTCTAATACCTTCGGTCAGTTTTGAAAAGCACTCAAGCTGATTGAATCCCTGACTATCACTGCAAACAATTACGGTGTTGCTTGGGAGTCTCTGTTGAATCGGTATTCCTACAAATACCTGCTGAAAAAGAAGCACTTGCAGGCCATTACATTTCAACCCAAGGTTCTGGGCAAATCCGCTTCAACACTTCGCGCCGTGGTGGAAGAATTGCAACGGCACGTCAAAATTTTGAGTCAACTGGGTGAACCCACAGCAGAATGGAGCAGCTTGTTGGTTCAATTACTTTACTCAAGAGTCGACGAGCAAACCCTCAAGGATTGGGAGGAGTTCGTGTCCGCTGATGGAGATCGTACACCAATCTTGTCGAATTCCTCACCAAGAAAATACGCACACTGGAATCCCTGTCGTTCCATGGTTCTCTTTCTACTCGGGTTGGTAGCTACGCTACAACAGAAAATTACCTACCTATGTATCACGCATGCAGTCAACATCATCTCCTGGTGAAGTGTCCCGTCTTCGAGAAAATGTCGCTGAAAGATAGACTGAACGTGGTCAACACCAATAAAATTTGCAGCAATTGCTTCCGCGGAGATCATTTCGTCCGCAAATGTTCCTCCAATTTTTCATGTCGTACTGGATTCGAAACATCGGCAACTGGCAACGGAAACATTTATCACGGTCAAGGTCAAAGTTCCCAATCCCATCCAGTCTCCAACGTTGCTAGATGTGAAGTCGAAATTGTACCAACTACTACTGAAGACACGGTTTCCTCCAACTCTGTATCCGACCCGCGAAGTGTGAATGTATTTCTATCAACTGTCGTACTGGATGGATATGGGAGAGAGCATCTTGCACGAGCAGTATTGGTTTTTGGGCTCACAATGTTGTTTGATGAGCGAACGACTTTGCCAACAATTGCGATTGGTTCGGCGACGAATAAACCAACCCATCCTCGGCGTCGGTGAATCTCAAATTCGGGCTGTTGGTTCGGTCTCCACAGAAGTTCGATCTAGAATCGACGAATTTTCGGTCTCTCTGGATTGTTTGGTTATTCGCAACATCACCACAAGTCTGCCTGCAGTATCAATTCCAAAGAATAATTGGACCATTCCCGAGGGCATTAACCTTGCAGACCCTGAATTCAACGTTTCACGGAAAATAGATTTGATCGATGGGGCTGAAAATTTCTACACGTTCCTGAGGGATTTCTACAAACGCTCAGTATCCCGGGAATCGACTGGACGATATGTGGTCAAATATCCCAAAAAGGAAGGCACCGTATGATTGGTGACTCGTCGGAAGTCGGAAGAAGTGTTAGTTTGTTTACTAAAATGAACCATGCCCATTTTGTTATGGCAAGTTTTGCTATAAGAAATGCTCCTCGTGTTTATTAGTGACCGTGAGTTCCTGCCCACCTGTCATTTCCCATGTCGCGTCGAGTCGACGATCAAATTACGACGAGAGATAACTGAGTTACTCAAACGTGGAGGTTTTCGACTGAGAAAGTGGTGTTCCAATTCCCAAGCGGTCGTAGAAGGAGTTCCGGAGGATGACCTAGCTCGAGACGGTTTTATGACAGGTGGGCAGGAACTCACGGTCTCCCAGTGTTGGTGAGTTCTTTGCCGTTAATGTTCACGAAAAGTTCACTATTTTGCCATACAGAAATTCAAAACAAAAATTTTTATCTTCGGATTTGGACAGTTTTTGACCTGTTTCATACGACCGGAAGGTGTATGCCGTGCCAAACTGATTTCCAACGCAATTAATCAATCTTTGATGTGAATTTCGAGGAGCATTTCTTATAGCAAAACTTGCCATAACAAAATGGGCGGTTCATTTTAGTAAACAAACTAACACTTCTTCCGACTGTGTCACCTCTCTTACTCGCCTAGCCTCCAGAGCACGTCTGTTGGATACCCTAGTGGCTCGAGGTAGACATTAACCCTTCCGTGAAGTAAGAGATGTATTGGGAACCCATGATCTTCCCTACATTCAGGCGATCTACGAATTCCTTTTTTTGTCTGATGTTACAGTTTGAGGTGATTATCTCCTCCTTTCCACACATTTTCCAACCATTCTGTCGCAGTTTTATTATCCACCTGTTTCTGTGCTACTTGCCCTTGCCCAGCCAGCATTTGGTCAACCGTTCGAGAGTAGTATCTGAAGGAGGTTTCAGAAACCTGTTTCCTACCTAGCTCCTTCCAATCGATATTGTTACCCATTAATTTCGAACCAGCCACGATTAATTGATACCCAATACTAACCTATATTTACTGCTGTATAAAATGGTAATTTATAAAATTTTGGCTCCGCAATGTGTCACACATGACTGAGCCTATTGGAAAAACAAACTAGTTAACGAAATGTTGAGATATTGTTTAATCTAATATTGCTTCTATATTCTAAATTCGTCCTACGAGTTTAAATTCGGCCCTGACGTATTTGTTGCCACCACCGTTGGGCACAACACCAGGAGGATAAGGACAAACGTCATGGCGCGGCCGTGACAGGTGTCAATCGAGGAGGATGAATATTAGCAAAAGTGAAGTCTAAAAGGATATACAGAATTTCGAGATAGTTAAATTAGTAGGAGCACAAACATTTTTGAAAACTTTATTTATTTAGTGAATTTCAAATAAATTGTAATTGTAAAAATTCGTAAGTAATGTTAAACTAATGTTTATAAATTATTAAATCATGCAATTTAATTGTTTAGACTACAGCAAAGCTGATCAACTGAATTTGCAAGGTCAAAGAGCCACGATAAGAAGATAATTGATGTAAGTGGAATAATTACCGTTAAATTCATTGTATTTAATAAATAAATTTTACAGTTTTGAGCTGTAAGCTACGGCCTGCTTCAAGAAAGTGTATTTTCTGATTATTTGATCTGGACAAAACTCAAAAATCAATGGGAGATGTCCGACGTTGAAGCTGGACATAACCCCGAAACCACCGGGTATGATTGTGCACTTTGCGAGCAACCAAATCATGTGGATAGCCATATGGTTTATTGTGAGAAGTGTACGAGATGGTTTCACTTCAAGTGTGTGGGAGTGACCGAGGAGGTCATTAACGTTTCTTGGACTTGCGAAGATTGCAAAAGTGCCATGAATATTCCAAGCCATGATGATACCATCGTTCAAGTATCGGAGTCGACGGAAAATAACCCTCTCATCCCAACCGATCCACTGATGGTTGGAAGCGAGCCAACGGAATGCAATCAGGAAGAGTATGACGCTGAAATGCAGTTTCAGCTAGCGCTGGAACAAATGCAGCGGAACTTTGAGCGACAATTGAAGCGGGAGGAAGAAAAGAAGAAGATGCAGCTTATGTTGGAGCGGAAAATGTTGGAACGAAGGAAAGCGATCGAAGCAGAGTTTAACAAAAAGCGGAATGAATTGTACGAGGAATTCCAGTACGATCCTTCGAACCAGGAGGAGGGTGCTGTTGGCGGACATCAGGTGCATACGAATGTGGATTTGGAGAAAATGGAGAGGAAGAAGCAAAACGCTATCAATCGGGGTGCTTATCCAAAATACTCCACACCCAAAACCGCACCGCAGCCTGGTGACGTCAACCACAATGAATCGCTTCTCGAAAAGGTCTCGGAGGAAAACACGCCGCTCAGGAACCCTCTACTACCAACGATCAAAAAGCCCGCCCTGCCACCTTTACCGGTGCCTCAGATTCCAAATCCAGCTACACTAGCACCTAATCCGTTGCTAATCCCAAATCCACGACCACCGCTATATCCTGTTCCGATTCCAGTGTCAATTCCGGCAACACCGGTACCAATACCAGCTCCATTCCCAGCTCCATATACTGCACCTTATCCTATGCTAAACCCAAGTGTGCCAGTATCACACGGTCTGAACGGTAGCATCGAGAATCATTCAATGCAGTATGCAGAACCGGAGCTAACGAGAGCTCAGATTGCCGCAAGGAAGGGCCCGTTTGCAAAGTTGCCGGTGTTCACCGGACGGCCGGAAGAGTGGCCCTTATTCATCAGCAGCTTCAACAACGGGAACAATGCGTGCAACTACTCAAACCTCGAAAACCTCGGAAGACTCCAGGAGAGCATCAAGGGTCAAGCGTTGGAGGCCGTGAGAAGCAGGCTGCTTCTTCCAGAATCGGTCCCCAGAGTGATCGACAGACTTCGACTTCTTTATGGAAGGCCGGAACAGCTCCTCCATTCTCTGATGCAGAAGGCAAGGAAGGCAGAGTCACCGCGTATGGATCGCTTGACGACGTTCATCAATTATGGCATGGTCGTTCAACAACTGTGCGATCATTTAGTGGCGTCAGGACTGATGGATCATCTCGTGAACCCCATGCTTATCACCGAACTGGTGGAGAAACTGCCATCCAGCACAAAAATGGAATGAGTGAGGTACAAACGCCAGCAAGCTGCAGTGAACTTGAGCACGTTTTCGGATTTTCTTTCCGGAATAGTTTCGGAAGCAACTGAGGCCACACTCTATGTCGAGCCGCAATTCGAAAGTCGACCCAACCGGGATCGTAAGGAAAAGAAGCCGAAAGCTAGAGAACACGATGGTCTCTTGAACACACACTTGAGCATCGAGCAGTCATTGGACCAGCCAGCAGTACAACATAAAGGTGAAGGTCAAATCGAAAACCGCAAACCATGCCGGGGGTGCAACCGCACTGACCACCGCATTCGTTATTGTGAGGATTTCCGGAAGCAAGCATGGGGAGACAAAATCAAAATTGTTGAGAAGTGGAAGTTGTGTCAGCTGTGTCTCAACGAGCACGGACAAACGCGCTGCCGGTTCAAAGGACACTGCAACGTCGGTGATTGCAAGGATCGTCACCACAACCTCCTCCATCCGCCGAATTCAACCGAGCCGCTATCAACGAATTGCCACGTACACAACTCGGATCAGCACCCTGTTATTTTTCGAGTGGTTCCGATTAAGCTCTACAACGGAAAGCGTACCATGGATGTTATTGCCTTCTTGGACGAGGGTTCTTCGTATTCCCTGATGGAGAACAGCGTAGCGGATCATATGAAGCTGAGCGGTGCCTGGAAGCCAATACTCGTCAAGTGGACGGCGGGTATGAGTCGGCTAGAACGAGATTCAAGGTCGGTCGATGTGTCGATTTCCGCCCAAGGGTCCAAGGAAAAGTTCCCGCTAGGCAACGTTCAAACGGTTCAACAGCTGCAACTGCCGGAGCAGAAGATACAATTTGCAGAAGTAGCGGATCGATTCAATCATCTTTGCGACTTACCCGTGGCCGTTTGTTTGGACGCCCCCCCCCCCCCCCCAAAGTTCTCATTTGTATAAAACATCTGCATGTGTACGCACCACTTGAGTCCCGCGTCGGCAACCCTTGTGAACCTATTGGAGTTCGAACGAAACTTGGCTGGACTATTTACGGCCCTCAGGGTAACGACAAGTCATCAGTGGGTTTTGCTGGCCATCACGTATCCGGTGTACTAGCAGACCAGGACCTGCAAGAACTTCTTCGAACGCATTTCACTTTGGAGGAGTCCGGTATGTCTGTTACGGTGCTTCCAGAAGCTGCTGAAGATCGTCGGGCCAGAGAACTGCTAGAGAAAACTACCATCCGTGTCGACGAGCGCTTCGAAACGGGTCTGTTGTGGAAGAACGAAAATCCACAACTTCCAGACAGCTTCCCGATGGCGCTAAAACGCATGAAAACTCTAGAGCGAAAGTTGTCAAGAAATCCTGAGCTGCAGCAGAATGTAGAAAAGCAGATTGCTGACTACAAACGTAAAGGATACGCCCACGTTGCTACGTCACAGGAACTAATGGCAGCCAAACCAGGTAAGGTCTGGTATCTCCCCCTAAATGTTGTACTGAATCCCAAAAAGCCGGAAAAAGTCCGGATAGTCTGGGACGCAGCGGCATCTGTTCAAGGGACGTCACTCAACTCCGAATTGTTGAAGGGTCCCGATCTTCTCTCCAGTCTCCCATCAGTACTGTGTCCCTTCCATGAACGCCCTGTCGCTTTCGGGGGTGATATTGCGGAGATGTACCACCAATTCAAAATACGAATGGAGGACAAATCAGCACAGATGTTTCTGTATCGGCCGAAAGCATCAGACCGTCCAGTGATTTACATCATGGATGTTGCCACTTTCGGCTCAACCTGTTCGCCGTGTTCTGCCCAGTATATAAAAAACCGAAACGCGATGGAGTTTACCGATCAGTTTCCTGAGGCTGTTGAGGCAATAGTCGAAAAGCACTATGTCGACGACTACCTAGATTCAACATTCACGGTAGGTGAAGCCATCCAGTGGGCAAGCGAGGTTGCATTCATCCACTCCAAGGCGGGATTCACGCTTCGAAAATGGGTTTCGAACAGCCCAGAGTTCCTACAGCACTTTGGTGAACAAGCGGATGACCAAATGATCCACATTCTGTGCAACAAGACCAATGGCATGGAAAGAATTCTGGGGATGTCGTGGAATACGGATCGAAAGCTGCCATCTAAACGAACCCTGTTGAGCATCGTCATGAGCTTTTTTGATCCACTTGGCTTGTGGGCCCTGTATACTGTTTTCGGGAAAATGATCATCCAAGATCTTTGGCGGAACGGATGTCAGTGGGACGAGACTATCGACGATAAATTGGTAAAGAAGTGGTTCAATTGGACCGCGCTGTTGCCACAAGTGCAGGCAATGGAAATCCCTCGTTGTTATTTCCTTGGGGTGGAACCGTCTGACTATGAGAATCTTGAGCTACACGTTTTTGCGGACGCAAGTGAAGATGCTTACGGGTGCGTTGCGTACTTGCGGATTCTGGTGAATGGTCAACCAAGAGTCGCACTGGTATCGGCGAAGTCCAAGGTGGCTCCCCTACAGTACATGTCGATCCCTAGGATGGAGCTTTTAGCTGCGGTACTTGGTGGAAGACTGTCCTTTGCTGTGAAGGCCAATCACTCCGTGCAGGTGAAACGTCTGGTGATACCCATCGATTCCGCAACGGTACTCTTCTGGATTTACTCAGACCACAGGAAGTACAAACAGTTCGTGGCATATCGCATCGGCGAAATATTAAGCCTCACGAATCCAACCGAATGGCGCTGGGTTCCTTCGAAGAACAACATAGCAGACGTGTTAGCGAAGTGGGGAAAAAATGGACCGCCGTTGGAAAGTGACGGAAACTGGGTGAACGGTCCCGAATTTCTGTACCGCCCCGAAGAAGAGTGGCCCCAACGAAAACTACCAGCATCAAATGTGGAAGAAGAGCTGCGGGCGCATCATTTGTTCCACGAAATTTCGTTCCCTCAGCTTCTAGTAGACACCACCCGTTTTTCGCGTTGGAGTAATTTGGTGCGCTGCGTTGCATACGTGTTCCGATTCATTTCGAATTGCCGCAGAAAGGTGAAGAAGCTGCCAATCGAAGCGATTCAGGCCACATCCGAGCTGGAAAGGTTGCTGAAAATTCCGTTATTGGTAACCAAGACTCCCTTGAAGTGCGAAGAACATCGTCAAGCGGAGAACTACCTGTGGAAAGCTGCGAAGCAAGATGGATTTTCGGATGAAGTCAAGACGTTGCTGAAGAACCAGGAGCTGCCACAGGAGAAGTGGCACAACATTGAACGATCCAGTTCACTGTACAGATTGTCCCCATTTTTGGATGAATTCGGAGTAATCCGTATGGAAGGGCGGTCGGCCTATGCAGAGTTCATTGCTTTCGAGCAGCGGTTCCCCATTGTGCTTCCGAAGGGCCACGATGTTACCAACAAGCTTCTTCTTCACTACCATGTAAAGTTCGGGCACGCAAACCGTGAGACTGTGGTGAACGAACTCAGGCAGCGCTTCTATATCCGAAACATTCGAGCAGTGGTACTGCAGGCGATGAAAAACTGTATGTGGTGCAAAATCAACAAGTGCCAACCAGCAGTTCCCAGGATGGCACCTCTACCTGTACAACGCCTCACTCCTCAGCTACGTCCGTTCAGCTACGTGGGGATCGACTACTTCGGTCCGGTAATCGTCACAGTTGGCCGACGATCAGAAAAAAGATGGATTTGCTTGTTCACGTGCCTAGCGACCCGGGCAATCCACATGGAAGTCGCCCATAGCCTAAGCAGTCAGGCATGTGTGATGGCAATCAGGCGATTCATCTGCAGGAGAGGTGCCCCACTGGAGTTCTTTTCAGACAACGGCACAAATTTTCAAGCGGCCATCAAGGATTTGGTGCAAGAGGTGCAACGTATCGATCTGGAGTGTGCAGATGTATTCACCGATGCTAGGACCCGGTGGACCTTCAATCCACCTGCAGCACCGCACATGGGTGGCATTTGGGAGCGACTAGTGAATTTGACGAAGGGCGCATTGAAGGCTTTACACGATGGCAGAAAATTGACGGATGAAATTCAACTTACTGTGCTGGCTGAAGCTGAGGACATGGTGAATTCTCGGCCACTCACATATGTACCACAGGAATCAGCAGACTTCGAAGCCCTCACGCCGAATCACTTCCTCCGCGGTCTGCCTGCTGGGGAACGTGAAGAGGCTCACGTGCTGACCAATTCGGCTGAAGCGTTGCGGGACAACTACCAGCGGTCTCAGGAGCTAGCGGATATGCTTTGGCAGAGGTGGCTGAAGGAGTACATTCCCACCATAAATCACCGTACCAAGTGGCACGGAGAGCAGGAGCCTATCGAAGAAGGAGAACTGGTGTACGTCGTTGATGGGAACAACCGAAGAACCTGGATCCGTGGAGTTGTGGTGAAGGTCATTCGAGGCATCGATGGAAGAATACGTCAAGCACTAGTGAAAACTGAAAAGGGTGTGTATCGACGTGCAGTTGCCAAGCTAGCGGTGATGGAATTGAGGAGTAAATCTGGCCAGATACCTGGTTTCGACCAGAGTTACGGGAGGGGGAATGTTGCCACCACCGTTGGGCACAACACCAGTGGGTTCACTGACGAGCCTGTCGATAAGTGAGGATAAGGACAAACGTCATGGCGCGGCCGTGACAGGTGTCAATCGAGGAGGATGAATATTAGCAAAAGTGAAGTCTAAAAGGATATACAGAATTTCGAGATAGTTAAATTAGTAGAAGCACAAACATTTTTGAAAACTTTGTTTATTTAGTGAATTTCAAATAAATTGTAATTGTAAAAATTCGTAAGTAATGTTAAACTAATGTTTATAAATTATTAAATCATGCAATTTAATTGTTTAGACTACAGCAAAGCTGATCAACTGAATTTGCTAGGTCAAAGAGCCACGATAAGAAGATCATTGATGTAAGTGGAATAATTACCGTTAAATTCATTGTAGGGGAAATTACGGCTTCGGCATGCCAGACTATTTTCGGCAACCCAAATTGAAACACTATTTTCACTGGATTTTCTTACGAAAACACTTCGCTGAATGCATGCAAACGATTCTTTATGCTTTCAGCTTCAATTTGACTATACTTTTACCACTGAGAAAAAGCAATCTAGCAAGGTTTTCTTGAAATGAAACACACGCACTACAAATTGTAGCTGATTTCGAGTTGCCGATAATAGAACAGCAGATTTACATGCAGTTCAAATGGAATGGTTGCCGAAGAAACACTGGTTGCCGACAATACTCGCTCTCACTAGAGAAGATTGAAAGCGTTTCAAAACAGTTTTTGACAATTCTTTCGACTGAAATTGTTACAGCAGCTGGCAGCAAAAGATTGTAAACAAACCAATACTGCATATGTGTGCGTTCCTTAGAGAAAAAGGCTATAGAAAGAAGGTCGCTGCTTAGGTTGCCGAGAATACGCAAATTCCCCTATTTAATAAGCTACGGCCTGCTTCAAGAAAGTGTATTTTCTGATTATTTGATCTGGACAGCATTGGAACGCCATTAGATTCGTCCTACGGATAAACGTAGAAAAAGGGAATTCGCTAGGAGCGCTTGCTTTGTTTTGAGAACAATGAGCGTAAATATTCATACAATGCACTCTAATAGGATTTATGTTGTAGCTAATAATATAACATATTACTAATTGGTGCACGGTGAAATAATGGATACTATTGATCATTTCAGCTCGATAGAACGGAAATTGGCAATTATGACGAAGTAACGCTTTACCCTATTTATCTCTCTTATATTTTTTATCAACATTATTCAGACAATAGGGTTAACCCCACAAGTGATGATGAGGACTGCGTTGTTCTATCTCATCAAACTTCTGGTGCCTACTCGGGTACGGGACTTGTGGTAAACTTGTATGATCGGTATGCCTACACTTTTTCTCATACTCGAATTCAGAAACAGATTATCTAAACCCTATCCAAAGGCACGATTTGACAGAAAATGTGGAAACTTACTAGTACTAGTCTGGCCGCGAGTTGCACCCGCTGATCCAAACCAAACGAACCATCGTATTCAGATAGACAGATAGCTAGAATTATATAAGAAAAAGGATTTGGAAAAGAAAGAAGTCCAAGATGCCAAGAAAGCAACGATCGAGAAACGAAAAATTGTGCTCTTAAGAAAGGAAAACAAAATCAAAATAAGAAAAAAGAGTAGCCAGAAAACCAAAGGCCAATAATGAGAAGTGAGACAGATTAGTTTAACAGATAAGTTCTGTCGAATAAATCAATTGAAAAAAAAATCATTTTTAATTTATTGATCCATAATTATGTATTTAATTAATCATGAGAACAAAACTTTTTGCTAGAAAAATTAACATAACATGGAAATAATTACTAAGACAATTGAAAGATTAAACATTCAGGTACAGAAAAAACGTTTGTTGCATTGAAATAAATCAGTAAAATACAAAAATTATGATTTTTTTTAAAACATGCATTCCTCTCAAGTGATCCATAATTGTGGGGGGAGTGTTCATACTAGGTCATGTATGGCATTCTGTTTGGCCAATTCGAAACTCTCGGATAGTCAAAATCAACTCTCATCTTTTCCTTAGTTAGTATCTATCCACAATCAATATCAATCGTTTGCCATTCGTTCAAAACCATCAACCACTCAGCGACGTTCAGTTCACCTGTATCGGTAAGAGCTTGTCCATCAAAACATCAATCCCCGACCGACCTCTTCCTTCTAGCCATTTGCCAACCATCATAATCATCACCACACCACCATCTCAAAATCCAACCATGCATCAAAAGATGACACTTTTCGAGAGGAGATCGTTTCTCCAATAACTACTCTCGCGTTGATACCTTGGGCCCCCGATCCTCGCATCATCATCACAACAGCGTCCAGCGTCATCAAGAGTCAACAACAGAGCATCCATCGCTACAGAGTAAATTTGTAACCGTTTCAGAGTAAGAAAGAGAACATTGAGAACGAAAATGCAATCGCCACCTTCCACCGCATCCCAACTAGGCAACCAGAGCACTGCTAGTTGGTCATCCTGCCTGCACGGCCGATGAGATCGACTCGAAATTAAGTGATTTTTCATTCAAAAACGCAAAAGTTTTTCCTGGAAAATCGAGGAAAATGTTCCTCAATCTGCGAGTAACTGACGTTTGAGCGAAGAGAACGAAACTCAGATTTGTGTTGTTTAAAACGGCCGTGCAGCCCGATTGTGTATTCCCTTTGGGCGTTGGTATTTCCATTTGGCGTTATTACTCGGCTCTACAGCGGCAACATGTGTAACGGGTATACATACACCTTCATAGCAACCCGCCCGAGGGAAAGGATGGATGGATGGTTGGCTGGTCGATGACGGAAAGTTGCACCGAGCGGAGGCATGGTGATGATGGTGTGGTGATGTTTGCCATCTTTTTTCTCTCTTGCCCCCCTCAGCAGCCCAGCAGCATTCTTTTTCCATTCGTGATGTTTTTGAAGAGAAGATGGTTACATGGGAATATGGTCAGGTTGCACTGATTTATCGTATCTTTGAATGTCTGTGCGATGCCCCTAAGTAATTAATTGATTTTTTTCCCGCCCCTTCATGTTCTGGTCCTTCGGTGTGCTTTTTTTTTTTGATATTATTGTTCGACTCGAACACAGAGCAGCTTCTCGGATTGCTTCATGCACGCAAGTGTGTGAGAGGGTTGCAGTTGTGGGAAGTACTTGGCAATGGCTCAGAGTCTGATCATCAATTTAATTGTTATTGCTTGGCATGGGCAAAATTGTAGCAATTGAAATTTCTGAAACCGATGCTGATGATAATTGAAATTGAAAACGATTGATGGTGGTTCATTTAGGGGGGGGAACGGATGATGGCGACATTCTGTAATACAAGCCATTGGCATACGGCGGTGGGGCGACAACGGATCCTATTGATTTTTAATATCGCGAGTGTGTGGGCCAAACAGTCGCAACAAATCGAATCCTAATTGTTGATAAGTCATTCAATGCGAAAAATCGTATCATTATGAATGTCATACTAAATAGGATGACCCACAATAACACACCTTGGGCATCACCCTCCTAATGGTAGCCAAGGATGTTAAAAAATTAAATTTGTATGGCTTCAACTCTGAAAAACCGTGATTTAGAGGTATTCCCGGTGAGTTTTATAAAGGTGATTTTTCATGGTCAGAGCTGAACAAATATTTCTAATGCATCGAAATGTAGTGCAATATTTGTTCAAATCTCATCGGGGCTACCTTGAAATCACGTTTTTCAGAATCCTCCTTCTACTTCTTCACATTTCAAGTTTATTTATTATCACATATAAGCTTATTGCGAGCGCACAAGTTAGAGTTCTAGATGCACTTCCACAGTTATTAATTGAGAGCTTTCGATGCCTGTACCATTTTTGTATTGGTAGAATTGTGTGGCAAATACAATCATACTACCAATCAAAAAAAATACTACATCGGATCCAACCCAGCCATCTCCACCATGGACTTACTTTGAAGCTTCGCCTCAACCTGGGAGCAACATGAAAACTCTACACACTTAGAAATAATTAATTTTACACGAGACTTAATCCATATTGGACGTAAACACATGGAGCGTAAACAAACATTTCATGTAAAATTAAGTGTTCGCAAACCGAAACATAAGCAAGTTGACAAAGAGAACGTTTGATTGAATTGATTTTCTCGTTTCATTCAACTGATTCTTATGTCAAAAGAGCCGCTTACATGTGTCGGTCTCAGGGAACGAAAATTTACATGACTTTTTCGTGGTGTGTAGTATATTACCAGTGTACCCCGAAAATTTGGTGCCTCCCTTAGCTCAGTCGGTAAACTGTTCGCGTTTTTGAAATATAAGACGTTTTTGGAAGGCCTTCAAAAATAAATGTTTTTCATATATTTTCTAAATTAATAGTCGATTGCTGAATTTATGTATGGGCGCAAATTAGGGGCATTTAGGCCGACAATACATTCATTTCTCCTAGTAGTCACACAAAATAAATGGTGGTAAGCTCCAACCGGTATTATCCTCGGATTAAAACAAAATCAAGACTCTACGGCTGCTTTAATGTCGACATCATAGTTAATCAAAACAACTCTAAGCAAACACTTAGCAGATCATCTAAACAGGGACGGTATTAAAAGTTAAGCCGAGTTGAAGCTTACCACCATAACTGTAGAAAAATAATGCTAATAAATTAATCATCTATAGATTTAAAGCAATATTTCAAATCTCCTCATTGATGAGTTAGGTAAAGAAATGTGCGTTTGACTAGTACAGTCGCATTCTATTCAATTTTCATACTGCCGTACTCTAGCGGAACTATCTACCTACCCTCTTCAGACCTTTCTCTAGCAAATAAATTATCACATTAAAGCTTCATGTTAGATAGTATTTCCAAACAAATACTTTGGCAAATATGAATTCACGGTCTTAACGATTGACTCCTTCCAGTATGCTTTGCACAACCTTATTGTATTGTTAAATTAAATCATTTGACATTGTACGCCATTTTGTTTTGATTTTTTTCACATTATCAACTTATTCTGGATCCTTCTTGAGGTTCCTACTGATGATTGATCAATATTTTTAAAATGACGGTATTATAATGAATTTGGTGGGTTCTAGTTTTTGGCTACAACTGCAACGTTGTTGGTGGGTGAGTGAGTATTTGTGGTGAAATAGTGTTAGGTCCGATGGAACGATTGGTCGAGACGACGAACGGAGATTTTGGTGACGCTGCCGATAAAGAAAATGCTGCCGACATGAGCGCGGCAAGAGTGAAGCTACCTCCGCTGGTAGTGAAAAATGTCCATCTCAACGAGCTCATCGCGGATCTGGCGTCGCTGGGTGTCAAAGCCGAATTCAAATTGGGCAGAATCAGCACCAAGGTGGTGCTCAGTACCAAAGCGGAGTATAACTTGGTCATCGCCCACCTGAGGACGTCCAAGGTGGAATTCTTCAACCACGACATCCCCGGTGAAATATCGTTCAAGGTCGTCATCAGGGGCCTACCAATTTTCGACCCGAAGTTTATCGAACATGAAATCAGGGACCGGCACAAGCCGACAAGAAGAGACGAGAATGTGAAGGCGTATCCGGATAGCCTTTTCCTGGTACACTTCCAGAAGGGAACGGTGACGCTCAACGCACTGAAAGCCATCCGGTCTATCAATTCCATCATCGCCCGCTGGGAACCATACTGTGGCGGCTATCGTGATGTGACTCAGTGCCAGCGGTGTCTGAACTTCGGACACGGCACCCGCAACTGCAACATTAAGCCACGCTGCGGAAATTGCGCTCAAGACCATACAACCTCCGAATGTGCTGCGGATGAAGCTGTGGCGTCCAAATGCGTCAACTGTGGTGGTGCTCACCAAGGATCCAATAAGCAATGCCCTAAACGCGAGGATTTCAAGTGCATCCGAAAACCGGAGTCCGCCAACAATCAATCAGGACGAAGGAAGAATAAAGCTCCGCCTCTTCATGGACAAGTGAATCCAAGGGTGCGATCCGCCCTCCTTCAAGAAACGTCTGGATCTTCTGCCAGACAAAGCTCTCAATCCCCCCTGGATTCTGGACACAACCAACAGCTCAACCAAATAATCCCGATCTGTTCTCAGCCGAGATTTTCATCAACATGACCGGTGCTCTATTGTCTAAACCACTAATCATCGCTACCTGGAACGCTTGCTCTGTAAAAGCGAAACAGATTGAGCTTGCCGACTTCCTCCGCAAGCACAGCATCAACGTGGGCCTACTATCCAAGACCCATCTAAAGTTCGGCGACAGCTTCTGGTTGCGTGACCACAACATTATCCGGCTTGATCGCACCAGCTCCAGGGGGGGGGGGGGGTGTAGCGGTCATCGTCAGAAAGGGAATCAAGTTTTGCACTCTGCCCCACATTCGCACTTCTATCATCGAGGCCATTAGTGTGGAGGTGGAATCACCAACTGGAAACGTCCGGTTTATCACTGTTCACTGCCCACGCCAGTGTTCCGCAAGCAACGGACTAGGAATCCCATTCAAGAAGGACCTGACCGCCATCACCCGTACTAGCTCCCGATTTATCGTTGGTGGCGAGACATACGTTCGACAAGTTCCTGTGAGGGGTAAGTTTGTTGCTATTGATTCCCACACCCAATTTTTGATTCGGTTGAGAAATGTGCGTAGACGTCAGTTTCAGAGGACTAGGCAAAAAAACGTGAAATGGTCGATCTGAACAGGCAGATTGCTTCCAGAATGGACTCCCTCCGAAATGAAAGTTTCGGGCGTGTTGTCCAGAATCTGGACGACCACTCCAGACCATCCTGGAAGGTAGCCAAGGTCCTGAAGACTCATTCCAAACCCATTCCACCTCTCAGAGTCCAAATGATGACGATCGGCTTTTAATCACCGCACAGGAGAAAGCAAATGCTTCATCGAATTTGCTTGGCTCGACTATCCAAAGTCCGCTCGATGATCAGGTTGCGCAATGCGTTCAAAACCTAGATGTCTCCCCTTGTGTCGTGCCTCCGGCAGATATGATTACAGTACAACAGATTTGCTCAGCGCTGAAATGCACCAAGAACATGAAGGCTCCCGGGTTTGACGGTATATTTAACTTGATCTTGAAGAGACTCAGCATGAAAGTGCAGTCTCTTCTAAACGCTATCTTCAACAGATGTTTGGAACCGCACTACTTTCCAAGCATCTGGAAAGTAGCAAAAATCATACCAATCCGCAAACCCGGTAAGGATCCAACATTGTCTTGAAGCTACAGACCAATCAGCCTCCTTTCAGCGCTGAGCAAATTGTTCGAGTAACTCATTCTCAATCGTTTGCTCAAATTTCTCGAAGAAAGCAACATTATCCTTCCGGAACAGTTCGGGTTCAGAAAGGGGCACTCCACCAATCACCAGCTAGTGCGGGTGATGAATAACATCCGAAGTAACAAAGCTGTATCCAAGTCCACAGCCATGGCCTTGTTAGACGTTGAAAAGGCGTTTGACAATGTTTGGCATGATGGACTTGTGTACAAGCTTTGTAACTTCAACTTTCCTTTACATCTGGTTAAAATCACCCGTAACTACCTTCAGCAAAGGTCGTTTAAGGTATCGTTGAATGGTTGTCTTTCCGACACGTTTTCCATCCCAGCAGGAGTCCCGCAAGGCAGTCTGCTGGGCCCCTTGCTTTACAAGATTTATACTTCCGACATTCCTCCCCTCGGTGACGGTTGCGTGTTCTTCCTGTTCGCAGATGATACCGCAATAGCCGTCAAAGGAAGGATGCCTCGCGACATAACGAACAAACTTCAACGATGCCTTAACGCCTTTGCTGATTATGCCACCACGTGGGAAATCAAAATCAATGCCTCCAAAACACAAGCGATCATGTTCCTCCATCGGCAATCGCCCAAACTGAAACCGGCTCCATCTTGTACTCTAATCATGGATGGCACAAGGGTTGAGTGGTCTACCGAAGTAACCTATCTCGGGATGTTGTTCGATGAAAAGCTCCTCTTCCTTTCGCATGTAGAGAAAACTGTAGTCAAGTGTTCTACCTTGGTTAGGTGTCTGTTTCCGCTGATTTGCCGCAGATCTCGCCTCTCAAGGGTGAACTAACTGGCCGTCTACAAACAAATCATAGCACCTGCGGTCCTCTACGCAGCTCCGGTGTAGGAATCATGTGCACAGACTCACAGGAACAAAATCCAGGTCGCTCAGAATAGAGTGCTGAGGATGGTACTTGATCGTCCTTTTGACACTAGAATAACAAATTTACATGAAGAGGCAGGCATTGCCAAAAAAAAGAGTCCAGAATTAATGAAATTAAGACTAAATTTGCACAAAAATGTAATTTATCAGAACATGCTTTGATAAGCAATTTGTTTATAGTAGATTAGGTGTATATAGTAGTTGTAGTTGTGAATAATAGTAGTTATAAGTAGTCTCCTTTTTTCAAATTTTAAAACAAACCAATCCCACCAAGGTGGTCATTCTTAAAACAGGCCTGATAGGACTAGGAACTGCAATTAATAATAATTGAAATTTCACAGGAACTAAAGTTGAAAAGACGCATCTGTGTCACTTGATAAGTTATACATGTAAACCACACAAATTCAAGAAATATAGATCATTTAAAGTCAAAGTGCTTCAGCTCATTTTCGCTTCGATCGGCGGGTAACCAGGTAGCAGCAGCAGCAGCAGCAGCAGCAGCAGTAGGAAGGCGGTTCCTGTCAAGCGCGCAGAGTTCGAGTTTTGCACCTCGAACTTTGCGCGTTGTTCCCGTCGAGATCATTAGCTGCTGGTAGCGGCGTCGCCTCGATGGCGCAAGCGCTCCTTGCCTGAATGATAACTACAAATCTCGATTACTTTTCGGAAGGACATATCAGCTTTTGTAAACAACGCATTTTATCGCCGGTTTGGCATAACTAATAGCTCGCCCCACATACTAACACCGCTAACAGGTTGGGAAAATTTTCCCCTATCCGATGGTAGTACTAGCATGCGTGGGTGAGCTACCAGTCACGCCAAATCGACGATTAAATGCGTTGTTTACAAAAGCTGATACGTTCCTTCGATCAAGTAATCGAGAAATACTTCTTGGGCTGTGTACCAATTGCCGAGTTAAATTTAACTCGTGGTTAAACGTGACATTTCGTAAGTTATTTTCAATGTTCGAAAATGCCGGAAATTGATCAGTTTTCAAACAGAGCTCAGCCACGGTTACCAGAATTTAACATATAGTCGGTCCGAAATAACCACGTTCGTATAGCAGGGTTATTCGATAACTCATCTGTCACATTTAACCACGAGTTAAATTCAACTCACCCATAGCGACACAGCCTTGGAAGTAAAATTAGGGCCATCCATAAATTACGTATATTTTTGACCAATTAACCCCCCTTCCCCCTCGGAATGGTGAATATTTCGCGATCAGAACATTTTAGCTTGAGATCCCTTCATTTAATTCTCGGTATATCTTCAATCTATTGATTGAATTAAAAAAGTCTTAATATGGTTTTTTAAGATATCGTGCGTTTTGTGAACGCACATTCATTATTTTGCTTAAGAAAACGGGGTGTTTCTGTGGTGATTAAAAGGATTAATGTAATAAATTATCAGACGGTACCTCTATTTATGCTTTTAGATTACCTATGAAAGTCCCTCCTACTTGGAGAATTATGCTACACAAGTAGAATCTAAAATGGAAGAGCTAACTAAATTGTTAGAACATCAGGACAAAATTTTCGAGAAGCTGCTCCACCAGCAGCGCGAGCCCCAAGCGGTAGCACTAGTACCTCAAAATGTTCCGCTTCCTCCGCCATTGTTTCTTGAAGGGGACATGGATGAGAACTTCACATTTTTCGAAGACAACTGGAAGAATTATGCCACGCCGGTGGGCATAGATGACTGGCCTGATGCGGAAAATTAAAAAAAAAGTGAGCTTCCTACTATCAGTCGTGGGTACGGAGGCGCTAAAAAAAGTTTTGCAACTTCGACCTAACAGCAGCAGACAAAATATCGCCGGATACGGTACTGGCAGCCATAAAGGTCAAAGTGACACGAACCAGAAATATCATCGTGGATCGGCTGGACTACTTCACGGCCAGCCAGACTGCGATGGAAAGTATAGACGATTACACGGCACGTTTGAAGACTCTAGCGAAGCCTAGTAAGTTTGGAGCTCTAGAAGCGGAAATGATCACCTACAAACTGGCCACCTCCAACAAATGGTCACATCTTAGATCAAAAATGCTCACGATGACGGGCCTTACGATAGATCTGTGTCGTGTAGAAGAGATTACTGCGAAGCACGTCCAAACCCTTTCGTCGGACAAGATGTTGGAGGTAAACAAGGTCCAAACATCATCATCGAAGGCTCGTTTGTGTAAGTTCTGTGGAGATTGGCATGCATTCACAAAAGGCTCATGCCCAGCCTACGGAAAAAAGTGCAAGCTGTGTTCCGGAAAGAACCACTTCGAAAAAATCTGTCGGAAGAATCGATCGAGCTCGTCGAAACGGAACCGTGTACGAAGAGTACAGAAGATAAACGAAGATACCTCGGATGACAGCGATTCAGACAACGAATGCAGTGAGCAGGAATCAGAAATCGAAAGAGAAATTGGCAAGATTTTTGATAACTCTAATAACGAATTCGTTTATTATTCAGTTCCAACCTGGATCGGGTATCAAGATTGGGTCTGCTTGTTTTCTGACAAACGTCAGTTTGCTAGTTTGTTTTTAAAACCTAGCTCAGGTTGAGGTTCGCACTGACAAAAAGTTCGGTTTCGCACTGGGTTGGAACTGGTTCCAACCCCGATAATAAACGAATTCGATATAAGAAAGGAGGGAATGTTCTGGCGGAGGTGCTCTTGAAGGTGAATGGCAAATGGAAAAGCGTAAAATGCGAGCTGGATACAGGTGCCAATACTAGCTTGATCGGGTATGATTGGCTGTGCAAGCTAACCAGATAATCAGATCCGGAATTGCTCCCGTCACCGTACAAGCTTCAAGCTTTTGGTGGTGGCGTAATCAATGTTCTTGGTCAAGTCAAACTACCCTGCAAGTGTCAATCCAAGAAGTATCTACTAGTACTGCAAGTCGTCGACGTCAGCCACAGGCCATTGTTATCGCTGGGTGTGCACAACGTTTGGTCTGATCAAGCTTTGTAAGTTTGTCAGCATGGTACCTACCCAATCGTCATCGGGAGAAAGTGATCCTAATGGGATGAAAATATATCGTATCGAAGCCGAGAAGACTATCGAAAAGTTCAGTGACGTTTTCCATGGATACGGGAAAATGAACGGAGAAGTCAGCTTGGAGATCGACAGTAGTGTTGCACCGGCAATACAACAGCCTCGCCGGGTCCCAATCGCTTTTCGGCCGAAGCTGAAGGCAGAACTCGATCAACTTCAGAAAGACGGAATCATCACGAGGGAGTATCAACACACATAATGGGTGAGTAACATTCTTGTCGTTAAGCGTGGTACTGCAGGATCCGAGTCAATGCGCATTTGCTTGGACCCTATTCCATTAAACAAGGCGTTGAAAAGGCCCAATTTCCAATTCGTTACCCTGGATGAGATTCTGCCTGAGCTGGGTCAGGCTAAGGTATTCTCGACAGTTGACGCACGAAAGGGGTTCTGGCATGTGGTGCTAGATGAGGCAAGCAGCAAGCTAACGTCGTTTTGGATACCATTTGGGCGCTACCGTTCGCTGAGGCTTCCTTTCGGCATCTCTTCTGCACCCGAGATATTCCAATCAAAACTGCAGGACATAATTCAGGGGTTGAACGGCGTAGAGTGCCTGGCAGATGATCTTCTGATTTATGGTCGAGGCTCAACCATTGAAGAAGCACTTCGCGACCACAACACTAATTTGGAGAAGCTACTCGTACGTCTGAAGCAAAACAACGTAAAACTCAACAAGTCGAAACTCAAACTCTGTGAAACCACAGTAAAATTTTATGGACACATACTCTCGACAGAAGGATTGCAACCGGATCACACCGAAATTTCGTCTATCAAGCACTACCCGGTTCCAGCAAACAGGACGGAACTGCATCGGTTCATTGGGATGGTCACGTATCTCAGTCGGTTCATTCCTAATTTGAGCGCCAGCTTTTCGAAGCTGCGACGGTTGATTTCGGAAAAGGAGTCGTGGCAATGGACACAGGCAGGAGATGAGGAGTTTTCGAAAGTGAAGTCCCTAGTGTCAGATATCACGACGCTACGCTATTACAACCACTGATTGAACCACTGATCGTCGAATGTGACGCGAGCTGTTTCGGGCTTGGTGTGGCCATATTCCAGAAAGATGGAGTCGTAGGTTACGCATCCAGAACGCTGACGAACACAGAAAGAAACTATGCCCAGATCGAGAAGGAGCTGCTCGCAATTTTGTTTGCATGCGTACGTTTCGATCAATTGATCGTTGGGAACCCCTGCGTAACTGTGAAAACTGATCACAAGCATCTGATCAACATATTCAGTAAACCGTTGCTAACAGCTCCGAAGAGATTGCAGCATATGCTTTTGAATCTGCAACGCTACCACCTAAAGCTGGAATTTGTTACAGGAAAGGAGAATGTGGTGGCAGATGCGATCTCTCGTGCACCTCACAACGATTCAACCGAACACAGTAAATATCTACAAGATCTTCCAGTAGCTGGAGGACTGCAACGTGACAGCTGTTTGGATAGCATTATGAATGCCACGGAGCAGGATACACCTTTGCAATCCGTAATAGATTTCATACGAAACGGCTGGCCCAACACCATCGACAGAGTTCCGGCAGCCGCCAAAATTTATTACAAATATCGAGGTGAACTATCTACCCAAGACGGACATGGTCCATGATCGACAAGGTGCATGTGAGTCTCTGAAACTCGCACGGGAAAATATTTTCTGGCCGAGTATGAGCGCACAAATTACAGATGTGGTAAAGGAGTGCACTATCTGCGCTAAGTTTACTCCGAGTCAGCAGAAACCTCCAATGCAGAGTCACGCTATTCCAGTCTATCCGTGGCAGATTGTCTCGATGGATGTATTTTTTGCTTCCTACCTAGGCAAGAAGCACCAGTTCCTCGTAACAGTAGACCATTACGATTTTCTGTTTACAGCTAAGCGAAACAATTCAAGCTGAGCATTGCATTAGGTCCTAAGGAACACTGACAAGATTATCTTCGTCGACTTTCTCCTTGAATCCAGCCGGCCCAGGTATTTTCAGCACACATATCGATTAAAGAAGTTTTTATCTAGCATCTAATACGAAAAACACAACAAGAAACGATTCTGTGCTCAAGTTATTAAGGCTGTGTTCCATTTGGTGAATTTTTACTTAAATTTGACAGATGGAACATTTTCAAATAAACCTGCTATTCCAGCAGACTTATTTCTGACAGACAAGGAATCAATTTGACAGACGCTTTCTCGAAAATCGGCCGATCTACAACAGAGGGACTTTCGAACATCTTAGTTTATTTTCGAAGTTACAAATCTAAGTGAAAATTTTCCAAATGGAACACAGCCTTAGTATTTTTTAATTTGTTCAATCGGTAGATAAAAGATGTACCGAAAACTTATTGCAGGGATTCATTGATGCAAAATTGTGCATTCCGTTTTTGTGTGTGCATTTATTTTTAGCGTTTTGAAGTTGAATCGCTGAAGATCCATCTCATTACCATAGAAAAAATTTCAAGAGTACAGATATCAGTTCTCACAAAACTTATAACAAAGAAACTGGAACTTCACGTTTGTTGCAGTCCAGTATACAAGGAGTTTCAATTTCATGAGTGATGTCACAACCGTCCAAGATTTGTGTCCTAGAAATCTTGAAGTGATAGGGAATATCAGCCATCATGACGGTCATTGTTGAACACTTCAATGAATCACCTGAAGAAAGCCTTACTCATATCTGATTGTAATTTAGGAACCAAATTTTATGAGGTCCTGAATTTAACCAAGTTTTACTAAGTAGGAAATCCATAATATGTACATCAGACCGAAATCATAGGTATCTACTGTATTTTAAATCAATATCTAGATAAATGCACGAGAATGTCACTACACAGCTTAACGTCACAATCAAAGAAAGGCGCGTAAGTACGATGCAAACTGTTATAAATATTGAACACGAATTTAATTTGAGAGAGTGAGTGCTTATTAGAGTAATGGTATTTCTACGAACGGTATGTACAATTAATATCAACGCTATTAACACGCTTGTAAAGAAGTCTCTTCTGAGAGATTTCGTATGGAATAACGATATTGACATCGTGTTCTTACAGGAGGTGGCTTTTGAGGATTTTGGGTTTCTCCCCTCTCATGCCGCTATCATCAATATAGGGACTGAACACAAGAGCACAGCTATTCTTGTGAGAAAAAGCGTTAACTTTGAAAACGTCATTATGAGTTCCAATGGACGTATAACGTCAATAACAATAGATAAACAAAATTTCATTAATGTTTATGCAGCATCAGGTTCAGGTTATAAAAATGAAAGGAACATAATGTTCACTACTGATATTATTCCGCATTTATCAACCAACAAACGGAATGTTATCGTAGGCGATTTCAATTGTGTTTTGTCTAGAGTGGATTCAAATAGTAGAAATGCAAATATTTGCACAGGTTTGGAAACATTAGTTAATACACTGAGGATATACGACGTAGAGATGAAAAAAAAAATATGAAAACCAACTTTACTTTTATTCGAGGTGATTCCAAATCCCGATTAGACCGGTACTACGCATCAGCAGAATTCATCGATGAAGTACGATCGATTACTACAAAAGCAGTTGCTTTCTCTGACCATCATGCTGTAATGGTGAAATATCAGGTACCTGATAGCATTTCGCTCCACGTTCGTGGAAGAGGCTATTGGAAAATAAATCCAAGTCTCCTTTTTAATGAGAATGTATGTGATTCTCTAATACGAAGTTTACTAGAATGTAAAAGGAACGGTATGTATCATAACGATATCAATGTGTGGTGGAATGAATACGCCAAACACAGAATTTCTAGATTCTTAAAAAATCAAAGCTTTCTTTTAAATCAACAAACACATAGAGAGAAACAATTTTACTATGTATGTTTGAATGAAATTATTGAAAAACAGTCGGCAGGCGAAGATGTTTCCACTGAAATGTGTTTCGTAAAGTCCAAATTAATGGAAATTGAAAACAATAGGTTATCAAATTTAGGAATGAAAATTAGCTCGAATTCTCTGCTGCACGATGAAAAAATTAGTTTATTTCAATTAACATCTCGAATAAATAGACAATCGAAGAGTACAGACTCTTGCTTAATAGTTGATGGTGTTACAACGTCTGATCCTAGTGTATTGAAGAACTACTTGTTTTCACATTTTAGTAAGGTTTTCCAATCAGATAACAATGAAACTGAATACGAAGAGATTCTTGGACACCTTACAGCCAAGATGTCTGATGAAGATGGAGCTGATTTGGTCAGGCCTATAGAAAAAACTGAATTAGAGACAGTTTTAAAAGAAGCTGCCAAAAAGAAAACCCCTGGTCCAGATGGGCTGACTTACGAATTTTATTTAAGATTTTCTGAATACCTCATTGATGATTTGGTGGTACTCTTCAACAAATACTTGGTCGAAGGTGTGCGTCCCCCTATGAACTTTTCGAAGGGTATAATAACCTTGATTCCAAAGAATGGTAATCCACATGATATAGCTAATAAAAGACCAATAAGGTTTTGACAAAAGAAAAACTTGAGATTTGTTCCGGCCTTACTAGGTTTTAATAAAAATTACATAAATTTTCCATAACTCTTTGCTGTTGTTTTGATGCTGATCAATCTTCCTTTGAACATATTCACAACGAGTTTTCTTTATCAATTGTGAATACTTATAACGCGCGATTGTGTACCTATTCCAATGATTGTCATTATTTGATCTACAAAACTTTTTGTACCATTTGTCCTTTTTCCATTTAAGACGCAAAAGATCCAAATTGTACCAACTGTTCGAGTTTTTCAAAGAAACAAACTTTTGCTCAACTAGTTGATTAGTACACGTTTTCAAAGCGTTATTAAGAACAGCTGTAGATTCATCTAAATTACCGGCTGCGAATGGAAAATCCACGCTCCTCTCAACAAGATTCGAAACAGCTTGCTTCGAATATTTCCTCCAGCACTTCAATTTTACAAAATTGTCGTTATCGTTAACATGTTATAAGACATTAATCACTAAGGTCTCATAATCGGTTATTTTCGAATCAGTATCCATAACTGAACAAATGGAATCAAAATTGGAGTAAACGTGATCAATTAAAGTTCTACTGTGCCTGGAAATACGCGTATATTCATTTACCGTTTGCTTTAAATTATAAAACTCAGCTAAACGCTTCAAGTGATTCGAATTATGGTTATCACGCCTATATATTTAATTTACTAGAATCAAGGAATGTCTCGAGCCAATTCTCTAAAACTTCAACAAAACGCTGGTCACTAGAACTGGAAGAATGATACAAAACACCATAATTGCCCATCTTCATGCCACGTACAACTGCAATGCCCAAGAACCAGTTGCCATCAATTACTTCGTTGGTACGAAGGTTGAATTGAACTGATTCTTTGACATAAATAGCAACACCGCCAGTGTGTCTTGAATGTGATAAACAAGCAGCAACAACATATTCCGGAATACTATACTGATCAAAAGCTTCAGTTTCTACAATATGAGTTTCAGATAAGAAAACTAAAAGAGGACGTTTTTCCTCAACAATCTGACGTAATGCTACGTAGTTTGTTGACAACCCCGCAATATTCAAATACAAAAAAATCGAATTGATTCACATTCCCGGAACTTGGCTGCTATTTATTTCAACGCAAGCTGCTTTTCTTCTGAACAAAAAATATTTTATAGAGCAAACATTCAGAGCTTAATGCGGCATGGTTGAAGCCCAAGCTCATTTTTCGTTCTTTGTTAATTTTCAAACAATTAATACATTTCAATACAGTTGACGTACAATCCGACGTTTTGTGTTGTTGCATCTCTCACAATGTTGGCAATCCATGCTCTTGTGCCCAAATTCTCCACATTTGAAGCATCTCAGCATATAAATCGCGGGAACTATCGAGCACCGATCGAACCCTTCATTTACTTTTTTTTTTCGCACATAACAAACATTTATACGTATCGACATCGACTTCAATTACAACACTAAACTTGTTATAAGTGAAACTAAACAAGGGAAACTGAGGCTGAAACAACTCAATACA